TTTGATGTTTTGGGTACAAAGATTTATACCTCGCAGCGTATTGCTTTTGACTTTGCTGATGAAAAGGCCCAGAAGATCTGTGGTGATATCCGCAACATTGGAGCCCTGCCACTCCCGCGTTCTGTTAAATGTCAGCTTATTGGGTCCAAGGTCATCCCACAGTGTTCCTTTGCTGCCCATATAACCAAAATCCCTAAAGCAACCCTCGACAAGATCCAAGCCGAAATCACGCAAGCGCTCTGGGGTCAGCGACCGCACTGGAGAGCCAAACACCTTGTTTTAGGTCTGCTTGCGCAGCCTCACAGGAATGACCCTTTTGTAGCCCGTTCCTTTTGTGCCATCTTAGACTTTGTCCGTTTTCTCCAACACGAGTGTGATGCCTTTGATCGCTGCTGTCGACTTGCACGTCTCCCTAAGGCAGGCAGACACACCCTGGTTGGGAATGTGCAAAATGCGTTTGCCACCTTTGGCCTCTGTCTTGATGACTCATTGTGTATTGGCTTCGGGAAAGACACAAAGATTTCTTTGCGTGAGATCTCTGTACGTGACATCACTCCTGTTCTCAAACATTTTGCAGTGCAGGTACATTATTCGCATCCAGCAAATCTCAATCGTAAAGATTTCTTCAAGCCGGAAGGGTTCATCGATGTTTTTCACACCAAGCTCTATGGTAGACAGGCTGCTGCGCAGACAGCTCATGGTCCGCCTTTGCTCTCTTTCTTCGAAGCTCAGCAGGTTGGCTGTACTATTACCAATGATCGCCGCTTTGCAGCCAACTACTCAGACACCAGTTCTTGTCGTTTCTGCTTACATGAGAAGGAGTCTTTGGTGCACATTTTGGGCTGCCCGGTTGCCCACAGACAATTTCAATTTGGACCTCCACATGAGTTTGGCTCCAACTTCCAGCAACTTGGCATTATTGAGCACCCATGGCCAATAATCTGGCATCGTTTGCGTACTGATCGTGCAGCTGACCTAGGACTGCGTGACTTCGACCACCCTGATGATATTCTTTCACTATGGACTGATGGCTCTGTTTTCTGGGGCGAATGTTTTCCGCTCACTGCAGCTGGGTTTGCCGTTATACAGGAAAACGGTACCACGTTCGCTGCCGGGCCTGTTTCCCACTTGTCCTTGTCCTCGTATTCTGCAGAACTCTGGGCTGTTGTTGTTGCAGCTGCCCGGGCAAATTGCTGCCTGTGCATTTACAGTGACTGTCGTGAAGTTGTCACTAAAGTGAACGCCCTTGTTGAGAACCGCCTTATACCAGGGAACTATGTGCACTTGGAGTGGTGGCAGTTTCTTCTGCGACTCATAAACATCCGAAGCCCTCACAGCTGCAATGATGTTATCAGGATGGTTTGGATCCCGGCACATGTTGATGACCACATACCAGTTTCGATGGTTTCAGCTGACCGAATCGCACAGCTTGGTACTTCGCGCAAACATATTGAACTCAATCGTCAAGCCGACAGAATTGCCAAGCAGCAGGCCCTCGCACGATGTGCGATAGCACCAGGTGACAAACAATTCTTTCATTCTGCTATATTGCATCAACAAGAGGTTCTCACGCTCCTCAACAAGCATATTGGCGCTGAATGTCTGGATGATCTACATTTCGAACCACAATCGTCTAAGCAACAGGAACTTCAAGACCCTAGGATGTGCTTTCCTGGATTGGCATGGGAGATCGGTGTCAGTGAATTCAACATCACCCTCAATTTCCCGTTGGAATCCCCTCCTCCGAAAGTGCTTTTTGGGATCGACGATTGGCACACAGTCTTGGCCTTTTTCCAATCGCTGCATTGGAGAGTCCAAGAGGGAGTGTTGTGCACTTACCAGGAACTTGCTTTCCTGTTTTATAAGAGAGGGTTTCGCCTCCGACAACGACCTCCTCATTTCCAAGATCTTGTGCTGCAACTTCGGAAGTGCATTGTTACGATCCAGAGGACGCCTTTTGCTCTCCCTGGGGTTCCTACTGCCCGTGCTACCAAATGCATTGGACGAGTTCTTCCACAGGGAGCCATTGTGGGCGCTCTCCCTTTCTTTGCTCTGGATGAGCTCCATGCCTTTGCTCGCATCCTTGCGGGGGGTGCTGGAAGGTTCGCCGATTCGTGGACCTTCTCTTTCGATCATCTTTTGTAGCTGCCCTAATTTGTGCAACTTGTTGTTCAACGATCAGTGTGTCGTGGACAAGACGTGTCACCCCAGGGATTTGACTCGTCAGCGCGTGAACAGAATAGACTCCCGCCTGGGAGGTCAACCTAATTACCCTGCTCTCAAGCTCCAGGTCTTGACCCACAGCGCTTGCACCAAGCAGGGCGCGCCGGCGTGCTAGGCTGGCACCCGGCAGAGCGTCGCTCTGCGTTCCACCGACTCCCAGCCCCGGTCTGGGTGGATGACCAACGACGACCAAAGGTGGATCCAATGGATCTGTCACTAGAAAGGCGGCCACATGTGCCCAGTGAGCCGAGTGGCAGTCTCCATGATCTCAGAGTTGTTCCCGGTGTTTTTAGTCTCCACGGCTCCTATTGGGAGGCCTCATGTACTCTTGATGAGACTTCAACACTGCCAGGCCTTTCAAAGGTTGTACACTCCCCCAAAATGGTGAGGTTTGAGGTTGATTTCATCCAGGAGTGGCCTCTGGTGGTTTTCCACCAGGGTCACTCCTCGCTTCCCACCGAGATTGGATCCGTCCGAGCAGCTGGTCGGAGTGAAGATTGCAGAAATCCCCTCCATGTCTGTACCTGGATGTCGCCCACGACCAGTGGAGAAGCCACGAGGAAGCCACGAGGAAGCCACGAGGAAGCCACGACCAGAAGAGGAGAAGTGCCGAACCTTCTTTTCTCTCAAACAACTGACTCACAACCTTTCACTCACCGCCTTTCTTGGTTTGCAGATGGTTGAAAGAATACGCCACCTAGAAGCTCATGGATCCGAACCAGCTATATACTACATGTTGCCGAAGATTCCAAAACCCGAGCTGTCAAACCAGAGGGTCATTTGACCCGGACCGAAAAAATTGGGAAACGGGGCCTTTCTGAGCCTTTGGGCCTCAACTTGCCCCTTTTCTCATCCACCCGTTTGGTCGAAAGGTGGTTTGGTCGAAAGGACGTGATCGGGGACGTAGTTTGGGCACCAGTTCAGCAGGAATCGGGCCTCCGCATCGCCCTACTCCAGGTCAGGGATACTCCAGGTTTGCTCAACGGGGGGTGTTGGCCCGGGAAGATGGGGTTGGGTTGGCAGGGGGAAGATGGGTGAATGGGTCGTGCCGGAAGGATGACGTGGATGTCATGTGGAGAACAGTGTAATCCATTTCCCATCATCTTCGATTTCACCACAGGGTCATCTATTTTCACGGCATAGTCATTGATGTATGTTTTCATCCAGTAGTCACGTGAAAAAACATGGGCTTGGGGGTGATGCCTCCGGGGTGTTTGCAGGATATGAGGTGTGAGAGGTGTACAAAGACCAGTCCTGGCTCGCACCGAAGCCTCAAGGGAAAGTGTCTGGCTGCTCACAAAAATGTGTGAAATCTATCGAATCTTTTGAACATAATTTAAGGTAAAAAAACGATACAAACCCACCCTGCAAGGAACAAGACTTGCCTGATCAACTTTCACCAGACCCCAAATAGACTGACAAAAAACTTACAAATGGAACTTTCACCGTTTGGGCGGATATGAAATGCATAATTCACTGCGCCTGCAGGTCGCAAGTAAAACAAACAATCTTGAATTCTTGGTCACCAACTGCTTGCCTTCCAAAGAAACAAAATGCACGCTTAAAACCACTAAAGTAACAACAGGGTGCGTGGTGGTGGCGTAGAATCGGAAAGTAACACTGGTGTAGACTCCAAATTGGTTGAAGAGTTTCGTTGATATTGCAAGAATCAATGAATGATGTCCTCTTGGAAAAAAAGAAGAACATATTCATTTGCCTATTGCTTGCTCTTAAATAAACCAATCAAAATTAATGCCATGTATGGTATGGCAAGAATCCATTTACAGTAAGTGTGTGGAATACACCCCATCGCCTTGTCACAATCCCCAAAAGCAGTCCTCGAGGCCTTTTCTTCAAGCCGAGGTCCAATTCTTCTTCGAGCGAACAAGGTTCATTCTTAGTGTCTTGACCCTCGAAGTGCTAGAAAAAATCACTCTGCACATCTCTGCACATCTCTGCACATCTCGCGAAAAAATAACGCTGAAATGAGAAGAACATGTCTAACATGTCAACATGCTGATTCTCATAAGACATGCTGAAGGGCATCTTTCCATGATTCCTGGAACACCATACCCGGACACTTGAGGTTCTTTAGGGTATGATGTGTGGAACCCACCGTCGACCTGTCAACCGTCGGAGCACTGCGGCCTTTGATGAGGCCTGCAAGCAGGCCTTGGTTTCCTGGCCTCCAAGTCTGTAGACCAGTCTGGTAAGTGTCACTCTTGCATTTGGCCCCGCAGCGGAAGTGCAGGTTCAGCAAGGCAGAAAATTGGTTTGCACACTGTCAGAGTTGCTGCTTCGCGGGCAGGCGGAACAAAGCTTCTACAGTCAAAGCTGAAATTGGGACCTCATCGGACATTCTTGTCATTATCCACTTGCCACCTGGCATATGAGAACGCAAGTGACTGCCCATTAGCGAGTGAATGACTGTCCACTCCACATCGTTCAACCAGACATTCTCATACATCGTCCACCCGCTCTGCTGTCTGGGGCCATTTTGGGCACCAAGAGCTGCTATCCAGGCGCCAATCTCCTTTTGGACTCAACGGATCTCCTAAGCCCTGGAGGTCCTCGCAAGTCTGCTGGCTTTGTGGCGGGCTCGGCTCCAAGTTCCCAGCGGCAAACCACGCCGGTGGGACATGACCACGGATTTCATCTCTCCATGAAGAGGTACCTGCTGCCAAGTCTCATAAAGGCAGAATCAAGTTGCCCGGTTCAGAATCTCATTCTCATCTGCGTACCAGACACCCCGATCGACTTAGACCGACGCTTGTGCCTCAGCGCATGGCCGGCAACCAGGAATCATCCATCCGTTCCATGCGTCCATAAGGGCTCAGGTGTTCTCCACTCGTCACAATCCACAGCCGCACGCGACGCCCGCGCGCCGCGGGCGTCGCGCGGACTCGCCCCGTGCTCCGCTGGAGGAAGGTGGATCCTGTGGGAGAGCTTTCGACCGAGAAGGCCGACGCCAGCCCTGTGCCTCGGTGCACCGTGTGGAGTGGGCGCACTGCACGGCACACGGCGCGGGTGCCGCGGAGAGGAAAAGCGTGGGTGGTGAGAAGAACTGGAGAAGATGGCCGAAGTAAGGAAACTGATCTGGGTGAAAAGGAAAGAGCTGGTCTGCGCAATCAAGGAGCTGGAGTAGTGAAATTGATCAATTTTGTGAAAGAAAATATTCATGATTACTCATGTGTGTTTCGAACAAGAACTGTGTTTTTGATAAACCTTGAGCATCCCTGAAAGGACTTCAGACCGAGGACCAGCATGGGATGCTGGTCTTCAGGGAGAGGGCAACCAACTTGAGGCCGAGGGTAGGTGACGAAAGCTAGCAGGGATGCATCCGTGTCAGTGGAGGCGAAGCATACAGCACCGTCCAGTGACAAAGGACTGGTGGGACATCAAGCGGAGTGAGGCAAGGGGCTGTTGGAGGGATGGTTCACAAGGTCTCGCTCATGAGGTAAAACGTTGTGAACATGGTAAGACACACGAACAGCAATGACACAGCCAACCTTAGCTTGTGAATCTGTTGAATCTGTTGCATCGTATCCCAAAACCTCCACGGAGGAGTTGAACCAAAGTGGATGCCATAAGAGGTGTCCAAGAGGTGTCCGTCTAAGGGGGGAGTTGAACCCGCGGGGGGGGGGGCCTCTACATATGAAGTGTTCACGTGATGCGGCGATCTCGAGGATTCCAGCCCCTCACTTGCTAAAGCATCGTGACTAGGGGATGTGAATCGAACACTGGCGACTCGCCATATGCGGGCTTCGAAAACGGTTCCATCCCGTGCCATGTGGTTGGTACTCGGCCATCCAATCTTCACCCTTCACTTTAACAATGGATCAATGGGTGGTCTCATTCTGAAGTTCACTGCCCCCTGCAAACTGGCAACCCGTTTGTGTGGTGGTCTGTGAAACAAGCAGTTCTGGAGGCACCAAACCAGTCAACTTGAACCTCGCCATCTTCGACATATTTGGAACTTCAGGCAGCTCCCTTTTCACCGAACAAATTGATCAAGTGGAATTTCCTCCGCGCCTCAACTCTTTCAGAAAGCTTGAAAGCAGTGCAAACAAACTCTGTAAATTCCTCTGCACCTCTTCTTAATTGGGCTTATCATTGTCATGTGTTCTCCATGCTTTGCTTCCGCTCTGCGTATATTCACACACTCCTAAACAAACGGACGGACCCCCCATCCATCCGGGCTGAAGCAAAGGCGCAGGATTGCTCCGAAAGCTCCAACAGCTCCAGTTTGGGCGCCAAGGCATCCACACTGATCCGTGGCCGTGTGTAGGGGCCAGGTGTGACACCGCGATTCCAATCACAGGGTTGCAAAAACAAAGAAGGCTGGTGCTTTTGGGAAACTCAGGGTGGGACAGGGTTAGGATTCCTACAGATACTTATAGGGGAGGTCCCATGGCGGCCACACCTGACAATCCGAGTGTCAGCAAGTAACTCGGTCCGTTCAGTCCGTCGAAACGGGGTTTGTTCCGTTTTCCGGACTCCATCCTGGGGGACAATGTTCGGGGGGTTGGACCCTCAAGCAATGATGTTCAACCTTTTGGGAATCATAGAGGGGTCCATGCCAGGCAAATCTAGGACCATTTCTCTGGACCTTTCTCGCGCCATGTTGGCATCAGGTTCTTCTCCCAAACTCGACCGTCGCGTCTCTCCACCTTCGTCCGCGAAATCGAGGTGCTTTGTTCGCCTTCGAAGCCCAACCCTGAGACCTCCCGCGAAGCACGCACATCACCACAGGGGCGTGCATGCGTGCAGGGGAAAAGCCTTGCAGTTCTGATGCTTTTGGAAGAAATGTTTCATAGACCAGTCGACCCAGTCTACCCCCCGAGCCGAGATCGGAGTGTCCCTGTTACACACCCACACCATCCGAATCCGATCCGTGGAACCCCCAGGCCTTTCCTCCACCAGCGCGTTCAAACAGCCCCAACCATCGCCCAACGCCCCCACCAGGCTCAAGCTGTGCAGGTCTCGCGCCGAACGGAGGAAGTCCAGCAGCACATCGTCCTAGGATGCATCCGAGGGCCGGGCTCTAGTAGGGGCCATGGGAGAGGAGCGCCCCTAGTAGGGTTCTGTTGTTGCAGGATTCGGAGAACTTATGAACTTGGACCTCAATTTCTTATGATGAGCAAGTTCACCTCACAATGTCCTGGCCTTGCGTTTCGTACAAAGTAGGTTTGGGGGGGCCTTGTTCTAACATCTTGGCAACAGGCTGGATTTGGACACAGATCTGCCACTGGTTTTGGTCTTCTCCTTGACTCCTTCGCGCAAAAAGAGGTGTTCAATCTATCGGCTTGACGAGCTCCAGTTGCATCTGAAATCCTTGGGATTGCTCGGAACCAGTGTCTTTCCCTAAAAAAGGTCGATTGGCAGGCTCCTGCACCTCCCTTCCCAGATCCGGAGCGGGTACCAATTCAGCCCTTTCAGGGGCCTCTCTAATCAGAAGTCTCATCTGTTAGGAAGCTATTGGACCTCGGACTTCCATGATGTTTTCCCAGAAATCACCCAACAGCTCTTTGCTTTTACCACCCAACAGCTTTTACCACCCAAGCATTGCCCTGTCAGATGCTCTGTCAGCTCTCCAAAACGTTTCGACCTCTCCCTCCGAGCTTCAGAGATGCGATTGCCGCCCAGCACCGCGCGCCTCACCGAGCGCGCGCAGGGCCCCAGGAGCTCGGCGAGCTGAGCGTCCGAGAGCATCAGAGAGGACACGTCCAACATCGTCAGGACATCCAAGCGGAAGTCCTGTTGGGCGCTCAGAGTTCGCGCGCAGCCGACGAGGACACGCGGACACCCGCCGCCGAGATGTCTCGGCGCCTTCCCTTCGAGAAAGGCGCCGAAATCACACCGAACTGGTTGGCGTGTCTTTTTCTTTTTCGCGCGGGACGAGTCGTGGATGGGGCATCCAAAAAAAACTGTTTGGGGTCTTTGGGATGGTCTTCTGGATGGGTCAAAGTGGAGATGGAGCCGCTCGCAAGTCACTGGTCACAGAAAAAGTTGCCGGGTCATTATATTTGGTTTCACCCACCTTCCAAGATGATCGTTGCATGGTGGGGGACTCCGGTTGCCCGTTCGCACACTGGGATTTCCATGTTTCATAGATTGACAAACCCCTACTCTAGTCCCACGAGACTTGAGAGGGCTTAGAATGGGCTCAAATACCAGGGCGCCCTGTTTGGGGTGTCTAATTATAGTTCCTTAGTGGTTAAAGGGTACCCATTAACCACCCCAAACAGGGTGCCCTGGTAGGGATCTGTGTGCAGCTCGCTCCTGGATCTCAGTGCAGCTTGTCAAGCCCAGATTCAGCGCGACCATCTGCTGCCCACAGCCTCGTGTGCGTGCAGCCATCAGTCGACCCAGCTTCTCGAGCAAAACAAAGGAACTGAGGAACCAAAGCAAATGGAAAGACCGTCCTAGTCGAAGTAAGATTTGACTCTAAGAATCTTGATGCGAAAAAAAATCCATGCATTAACTTCCCTTCCACAGTTCTCTGCTCGCGGTTTGCGCGCAGTCATTCACGCCGGGCGTCCTTGTATGCTGGTGAGGCCACTATTTTCGAAGAGCCACAAATAGCGCAGCTTCGGGAGTTGTGAGCAGTTCAGCTTCCCAGAAAGCCCGCAGGAGGCCAAGCGAAGCTTTTCCTTGAGATAAGGGGCTGCGAGACTGAAGGGTCAAAGCCAGGTACCATACCATATGTACATTATAACCCAGTGGGTCCCAGTTAGCACTACATAAGGAACCAGGGATTCGTTCGGTCTATGGCTTTAGTCTTTGGAACCACTGGTTGCCAGCTATAGTGGTAACTGGATGCCCTGGGTAACATACTATGCATATATATATATTATATATACGATCGGGGGTATCCCCTACATTCATCAACCAAGCAATACAGCAATACTACAGGAAAAAGGATGTATCATCGGCCATCGATGGGCTTCGGAAAAACCCTGCCAAGTTCGGAGGACAGGAACAACTCGGCCAAGTTCGGAGCCCAGTTGTGGAAGCCAGTTCGGAGCCCAATTCCAATAATGTAGATCTCCACCCTTGATGAATAAAACCCCTCATATGGACTGATGGATCCGTGTTGTGGCCAGACCATCTTCTCCTTACTTGTGCAGGGTTTGCCATTGTCGATGAGCACCAAGAGGTACTGGCTTCCGGCCCAGTCATGCATTGGTCTCTTTGTAGCTTCACGGCAGAACTCTGGGCCCTACTTTATGCCGTGTGTGATGCTCGTGGGCCCCTCCATGTTCATTCGGACTGCCTGAGTTTGGTTAAACAGACACAGTACATGATTGACTATGAGTGCATCAATGTTGATTGGACCTGGGGTTCCTGGTGGAATGCCCTCTTCCACCGTTGGCAACACCTTCGAACCTTGCATTCTGAACCCTTGCACATCACATGGGCTCCATCACATGTGTTAGAAGGCATTCCCTGGAAGAGATAACGGAAGAGCAGGCACATGCCTGTCGTACGACATGCAGAGATATTTGTGGTAACAGAGCTGCTGATTTAGCAGCCAAACAAGCAGCCCATGCCAATTCGCCCATTTTTGCGCATCAGTACTCGAAAGTAGCCCAGGCCACGCTTGAACGTCAGGAATGGCTGACCACCTTGTGTTACACCCTTGGTGTTACAGTTCAGCCCTTTCAAGAGGCTGAAGAAGAAAGCCGCGATGTGAGACATCGCACCCCTAGAGAATTGTTTCCAGCACTGCCCTGGGATGCCGTGGCACAAGAGTTTCGATGGACCATGCAACAACCATGGCCGGCGCAACCACCGTCACGTTGGGACCTCCCCGAGGCAGATTGGGAGGCACTTGGGACTTTCGCGCATAAAGTTAAGTGGAAAGAGTCTCCTGAGTTGCAGATCTCGTATGCAGAGCTTGCCATTCTTTTTGTCTTGAGAGGGGGGCGCTGTCATCTGTTTCATGACGAACATGTCACCTTCCGCACCATCATTCGATGGCTACAAGGACGATTGTCCTTTTGTCGACGCAAACTTTCATTCGATCTGCATCCTGGATCGCATGTCCCACGCGATCACAACTCGTGGGGCAAGACCATGCCTTCAGGTGTTATTCGACGTGCTGCGCCGTTCTTTAGCAATTCAGAGCTCGAATCCCTTGTCTCGATCACCCAAAGGGTATCCGGACAGTGTTTGTCAGTTTGGGATTTTCCGATCGCTCCTTTTCTCTCTTGAGTGATGTTCCTCTTTGGGTCAACACCTGCGGGGCAGGTGAGTTGTGCATATTTGTCTGCCAGTCAGTGGTAGCTGACGGCATCGCTCGTTTCCGAGACTTCGCGAGCGCGAGAGGTAGAAGAGGTTGTTCAATCCAAATGGGGTAGCCACTGCTGCCCAAACCTTCCGGGGGCGTGGCTGTCGTGGTCGGGGTGTTACAACCTCGATGGCGCGTATTCGGGCACCGCCATGGCATGGGGGTGCACACAAAAAAACATCAATGTTCCACTCGGAGAACACCATCCACTTTGCAGAGGAACTGGTGGACCACATAGGCAGTCGAGGGATCTTGCTTCGGTTCATACACCTGCAACCTTCCGGACGGCATGGAACTGTCAACGGACAGCCCCTCTAAAGAAGACCGTGCGATCTGCGAGCACAGTACTTGTGTGTGTGTGTGTGCAGATCGCTGCCAGTAGTCGCAAGAATGGAGGGCTTCGATGCGACGACTCTTCTCAAATGACTTCTTTCGTCATGTGTCTTTGGAGAACCAGTGCAGACTTGACGTACAATCAGAGCCTCGGGCAATGGACGTACACAATCAAGGAAAGCTACTTTTTTTGTTAAAAACCGACCACGGATGAAAATCACCGGTGGCTTATGAAGCATTTTGCACGGTCGCTCTTTTCCTGCGCCCCACCTGGACGGGCGCCCGTTGGTGACTTGTGACTCGCCGATCAGAGGTCTACAGCCTGTCTCCTTTTTTTGCCTCACAACAAATGGTCAAAGGCCATTCCTTTGGCAAACGCGTTGCATGTACAGTATATGTCTCATGTGATCTCAAGACGGGGTCCAATCAAGTGTGTCCTTGTGGAGCATCTTGCTGCCATTGTCCGATCGTGTACATGCTCAACCCACCTGCGTCCGTCACATCCAGGATTACAAGGGGCGGTGTGCACACGTCCAAGCACAAGTCCGCGCATCCAAATGGAGTGGGTTTATTCATCAAGACCCTAGATAGGCTTCCAACAACCATTGATTTAATAGGCTTTACCGAATCAACTAAGGATTTTACATTACAAAAACCAGGTCAACCATGTTTAATGGTCTTGGAAGGCTCGGGAAGAGTCTACATTACAGTGTACTCAATGTGGAAATCTCACCACTCACCGACCAGTCGTCACCACCGTTCCGACCTGATCACTCACCGGAAAATAAGCTGTACCCATTGCGGGTCGGTCATTGTAAACACATCATCAGGTCAGGGCGGGCTCGACTCTAGGGCTCTAAACACCCGTCACCCGGGTGGTGCTGGCCACCAAGCATGATTCATCCAGCTTCCACCATGGACGAAACCGAAACCACCAGCGCAGGTTCCACGTCCACGTCCGTTCAGCTCCCAGCGGCCAGGTTTGCCCAGCGCAGGGTGCCGCAGATCGGGCCTATGCAACAGGGGATGGTCCCTTCCAAGAGCAGCTCCTGCAAGGCTTCACAGTGACCTAGGCCCACACGGCGTGTGTGGCGTCCTCGCCGCGCGCGCGCGCAGGCAGTGTGCGCGCAGTGTTCGGTCTCGTCCGTTCGGCTCGGACAGAAAAGCTTCTGATTGACCACCTGCAAAATGGGCAGCCATGGCACATGGTCCTCCACTTCATTCCTTTCAAGTCTGAGAGGTCATGTCTGGTGTCGAACGGACTAGGACTATAGGACCCTCGGACCCTTCACCGGACCCCCGTGGTCGCAGTTGGTTCCATGTAGCTTGTGGGAACAATCTGGTCCACAGCTGTTCACAGGGCCCCGTCTGAAACGGTGTGGGTCCTTTGATCCCGGGAAAACGGTGGACCGGCGAGTTGGATCACTGAACTGCAGCTCCGATCCAGTCCCATTTCAGAGGATAAGGAAGGGTCCGGACTGACCCTGGCCCATGAAAACTGAACACCTTGGTATACGAGGAAACTTCGAATCCTGAGGCTAATAGGAACATCTTGGAAAGTAGGTCAACCAAGGTATCCGGGTGCCACGACCCACAGCCATATCCCCTCTGATGTTCATCACCACTGTTTGCCAGGTCGCTCGAGAGGCTTTGGAGCACCTCGGAGTTTTGAAAGACAAAGCTGTCGAGGCTCAGCCTGAGCTGGCGGTCAGCTTGTCTCCAAGCAGGGGGGTTTTGGTGCTTGGACCCGACTTCAAGCACTGGACCCGACTTCAAGCACCCGACTTAAAAAAAAAAGGGCAGGTGACCCAAACAAAAAAGACAGGTCTCCCGGATCGTGCGTCCAGGGAGCCCTGCGTCAAGGTCCAGTCTCCTGGTCGTCAGACTACCTCCTTGAAGTATGGGTTTGGTATGACCATCCCCAGTATTTCATGAGGTCAGTTCCTGACTTGTAGGGTATGGTACTTCTGTACCGTACCTGTTTGGAGTACGAGTCTAGAGGCTCCAGGAAGTCCGGTGGAAGTCGAAGTCTGTGTGGCACTGAGGTCCCAGGAACCTTCACTGAGGTCCCAGGAAGGTTCCTGTGGGCGGAGCCCCGGTTAGTCCCCGGAGGTTTTAAACCCACCACCCACCATCTTCTCTGACCTAGCCACTTCCGCAGATCTCTCAGCGACGCCCTCGCCAGCTCCACGACGCCCTCGCTGGTCATCCACCGGTCTCCGTGGAAGGACCACAGCTCCAGCGACACCAAGGGCTTCGCACTCAAGGCCACCAGCAACTCATCGTCCAGTGGCACATCCTGAGGCGGAGCAGCACCGACGGAACTGCAGACGGGTAGCCCAAAAAGCCTCTAGCAGTCGAAACACCCATGGTGTGTGAAAGCTATTTGTTTGGTGAAACCTGTCCGATTCTCCAATTCACTTTGGAACAAAAACGGGCTTCGACATGTGAATTCACCATCATCTAATCTGCGGGGGCTTGGTCATTCTAGTCACTTCTCGTCCTCAGAAGTTCTCTCTGTGTCGTGCCAAAGTATGCTGGTGACTTGCGCTCCAAAAGGGGCGAGAAACCTCTCATTTGTGACAGCTGGTCTGTGCCGGGTGATGTTTCAGTACGATGAAGGGAGAAAGTTCCAAGAAGTTGGTCGACGATCAGGCCTTCCATGGCCTAGCAAGAATCCGGTTGTTAGCACCCAACCAGTTCACTTGATCACACCCTTCACTCTGATGACACAAGCTGGTGTCCTTCACTTCACTTCGTCCACGCATGTCTCTCACCCTATATGGACACCAAGCTCACAGCAGCCACACATCAAAACAGGTCTGACACCCCCACAACTCTATGACTTAGTTCCGAAGACTGGAATCTCCAGACTCCAGAGCTTGGTGTTGAGATTGTTCTGCTCCAAAAGCGGAAGACTTGGACGCGACCACTGGATGCACCGGGTCCGTCTTGCGAAGGAAAGAGAAGTCCACCCGAACCAGGATCCATTCGTTCTTCCCCGGCTTCGGACTCAACGAACAAGAATCGGCGAAGGCCAAGTCTTTCAAGTTCTGCATCTCTCGCAAGGCCTTCGAGAACTGGGACACTCCCAGGAACTAGCTGGTGGTCTCTTCGTCCTGCCCGATTTATAGAAACCCCATTAAACCCCCAAAGGAAAAGGATCTAAAGATCAGATCCCCAGGTAGAACATGTATTGGAAACCGTGCCACGAATGCTCTTTGGGGACCACAGGATTTTTGTGCCATTCCGAGCAGAGGACGAGTCGTCGCTCTGAAGAATCCGGCCTGCCATGGAAGGTCCGACCCCTGTTCTTAGGATTATAGGAATGGTTTCGTAATGAGAAAACCTCATAATTGTAATTGATAACCCCTTTCTTTTGGATCAAATGCCCTGTTGAGTCGTATGTTGGATCAAACGCCCTCAAAAACCACCGCCGAGCTGCTGTTGTTTGGCCTTCAGAGGTCGCCGTCCGAAGGTATCGCAGATCCGAACGACCCATCCGTCCGAGTGGTTGACTCAAAGCAGCCATCCAAAGCATCCAAGAAGGGAGCTCACCAGTGAGGCCAAGAAAGAAACATCCTCTTCCCCAAAAACACCGGGGGGCCCAAAGTTTTTCATAGGCCCTCCCTAAGCTTCACCCCTCAGATCCTGCAGGCGCTACGAAGCAAATGAGAAGTGCGCCGGCGCCTGCAGGAACTCGCTCCTCGTCGAGCCAATCCAGTTCAGGTGTCGAGAGCAGTGCAGCACTTGCAAATCCTCGAACTTGACGAAGGTGGAGGAGCAAGAGCGCAGGTGAAAGGATCCCCCAAACCACAACAAAATGAGTGCTGAGAAAGTCACCAAGTCGTGGCAACAAAAAGCCAGTTGGGGCTACGGCTAGGGCGACCCCCCTCATGATTGGACTAGTTGCGTGACTCTATACTGCTTGGGGGAACCCACAAGTGAAAAAGCCCATTCTGTTGCACTTGAAATATGTCACCCAAACTTGCCGAACCCCACGCGCCGACCCGGTTCCGTCTGAAAGCAAGGCTCTGGGCATCTCCTCCTGGGTGTGGAGTTGCGAACAACGTGCGAAGCAGTGGGGGCTCCGGGATGGTCTGAATCATGTGAGGGGTGAACATGAACTGGTGCAGCGGGGAGGCGGATGTTTGTTTCACGTTGGGTACTCATCTCCACGTTGGGAACGTGGCGCAGTTCGTGACACTGACCTCTCATTTGTGTGAAAAAGATTTTAAAAAAATAAACTGGGGGTTTGAGGAGTGTCCTAACAATATGGGGTTCTGTGTCCCCATCTTCATCCCCATGTTCCATCGCGGAGCCGACGACCGGCGAAGCCTCAGAACCTCTGCTTGCGAAGCGGAATTCGGTCCCAATCAGTACGAACCGGACCGACCGATATGGCTTGTGTTGGGAGCGCGTGTGAGAAACACGCCAGGCGCGCCAACCACCGAACACGAAATGATCCACTGATCCATCAGCTGGTGGCTAAGCTTGGGCAAAATGGGCGAAAAGCAGATCCAGCCACCTGGTGAAATGAAAGAAATACGCCAACTCCTGTGCCCTGCGCCCCAAACATCCGCGCTGCTAAGCAAAAAACACAAAAATCACGCCAAGCTGCGAGAGATGCACCACCACCTCAGTGTGCCGAGGTTACCAAAAAGGAGAAGCGAATTCTTTCCGGCAAAGTGACCTCTTTGGAGTGCCTATTTGTGACCTTTTAAAGGCCCGTTGTGACCTCAAACGGTGTTCTCAAAGGGATCAATTTTAAGAACCAGGAAACCGCAAAGTGCATAAGTGCGCGAAGTTGCAAAACCATTCAAGTGACTTTGCAAGTGCAGCATATGTGCTTGGAAACGCAGTCACCACGCGAAACAATTGGTTGCTCCAATATGGCAATTGAGATCCTTTACCAACTGAGGGCTTGCATGGCATGAACTGCGTTGACGGGAAACTATTGTGATGCGAAGAATCCAAAGCAACAGAGGTGAAAACGTTCGAAGAAAAAGTGAAATGTCGCACGGGTTCTCAGATGTGCAACTTACGGTTGTAGACCGCACACGCTGAAGATCAAGACGTCCGAAGCTGAAGACCAGTTTGTTTCCGTCCGGCACAAACAAGTGTCTTCACAGCACGAATTGAGGTCCTGTTGTCGCTAGGAGAGGGCAATTCAAAGCGCAAAGAAGTGAGATTCAACCTTAACCAAGTGAAGACAGAAGAGGGTCCGGCTGAGCAAGTTGATCAAGGAAAGTGCGTTAGCCAATGAAAGGGTCCGTATTGCAATGCTGACCCCACAAGTGAAGTCCAATTTCAAGTTTGTCAACACGATCCAGAGGCAACCACAAGCTCCAGGCAAGATAGAAGGCCTTTGACAAGAAACAAACTGCTCTTAAGGCGAGGCAGCGAGACCAAGCGTGCAGGCAACATGTGGGCGTGACATCGGCGATGCAGCCCAAGTCCAAGTGGGTGGCTTTAACGTTCCAAGTCGATGAAACGTTCCGAGTGGTTTCTGATCCGACACACATGTGTGTCGTGTCTGGTCAGATCCTCCGCACAGGTCAGACGAAACAGAGAGCAAGCCACTTGGACCGTCTGGACCGGTCGAAAGGTGATGCCGGTGGCAGAGCTCGACGACCAAACGACCGACATGTCAGTCTGTCGCCCAAAACAGCGCTGGCTTCAAGTTCAGTCTGTCAGAGAGGCAGAAAGTGCGCTGGTCTTTCACATGTTGGAAGGTGCTCTGGTTTCAGATTTTGTTCATCTTGGTTGGTGCTCTGCCCGGGTCGGTTGCTCTTCAAGTTTGGTTGTTGGGCGCTCTGGTCTTCAATGGTTGGTTGGGTGCTCTAGTCTTCAAGTTTGGTGCTCTGGTGTGGTGGTTGGTGCTCCAGCCTTCAAGTTTGGCGATTGGTTGGGTGGGTTGGTCTTCATGCTTAGTGGTTGTTGAGTGCCCAGTTTGGTGGTTGGTTGGGTACTGTGGTCTTCAAGTTTGGTGCTTGATTGGGTGGTCTGCGCGGCATAGACCTCAATACGTGCTCTCAGGGATTGGGTACTCTGGTCTCTGGTCTTCAAATTGGTGGTTGCTTCCACGGCTCATGTCGTTTTCGGGATATCCCCACACACTCCACACACACCTCCTCACACTTCTTTCATCCCCCCGTGTCCCGATTGGCACCAAAGTCGCCCGCTCGGTGAGATGTTCGCAGCCGACGCCGGCGAAGCTCTGCAGGCTCTGGGGCGCCAAGGCCCAAGGCTGGTCGCTGAAGCACGAGGACCAGCTCACATCCAGAGAGTGCAGCCTCTGGTGGCGAGTGAAGGTCGAAACTGAAATAGTTTTTGGCCCACTGAGCACCTAAAAAGAGCGATGTTATTATGTTATGCTGTTCTTTTTGTTGCAGTGTCGTTGTGTTTGTTATTTTGTTCTGTGTCATTTGTGGTGTCTTGCTCTTCGTTTACTTCCTGCTTTTGTTTTGGTCGACTTGGATGGTAACCAAAAGCACAAAGTACAACATTAGAGGTCTTGTATGACAAAACAAAATGCCCAACAACTAACACATCGAGAATGGAGCTTCCATTGTTCTCCCAAAAGGACACGCTCAGTCCTCGATCTGATTGCTGATCCAACGACAGATGTCGCCAATCACCACCCGTCCACGCCGCTTTTCGGCACGAATTGGCCTATGTCAGTTTGGCGGAAACTGCAGCTTCATGTGTGGATGTACCGATGGTGCGGTCGACTTTTGGTTCAAATGTTCAGAGAAAGGTGCGTGTCGTGTCATTTGGTCAGACAGGGATGCCCAGGGGAAGAACAAGGACATGAGGGCATGAAGAACACTCAACCAGGCCCCAAACCAAGTGCTCAAAAAACCATACCTTCTTCCAAACCAACCCTTTCAGATCCCGGATTGAGGCCCCAAACCAGCCTCAAAAATTGCAGGACCTGGTACGGATCGCGTAGCCTTCTAAAGAAGGCGATCGCCTTCGACCCGTCAAGGGTGCACCGGAGCATCGGAAGAGCATTTCAACAGGCCTCTCAACACGGGTCCGACGGGAGAAATGCGCCAATCGAGGACTGTCCGTCTGCTAACCGCGAGCAAACGATCTGAGCATGTCCAAGGAGCTGCAGGTCGTTCCGGAAGATCGTCTCTAAAACCTCGAAAGGCACGAAAGGCTTTTCAAAGCCCCGAGTCACGAGTCTGCAACAAAGAAAGTCATACAAAATCATCTTTCAACCAGCAGGCGTTGGAATTCTTGGTTTCGGGGTACCTTTTTATTGGGCCCAGCGGAACTGGGTTTTGTCCATGGCACCGGAATCACCTGGGCTCCGAAGCAGATGTCCTGCAGGAACCCAACCGGCTTTCGGTAGAAAAGACATCTATTCCTCAGGCGGCTGGGGATGGACCCAGTTCGGGACATTGAACACCTGAATCAGCCAAACCAGCACTGCAGTCCCAGAATCCCGACCGAAGAAGGCGGCCCCTGGGGCTTCTTGCCGCACCATGAGTGACTGGGAAGGCGGAAAATGAAGCACCAAAGATCCGGCCTAAGAAGTTTGTTACGTTTAGAGGGTTCAAGTAGAAGTCTAGGGCCAGGCCCCGAGCCATATCCAAGAATGAAGCCCGAAATCGGTCATGTGAACGCTGAAGAGAAGCTGGTCACGTAGTACCGTAGGACCCTCCAATTCCAGTGTCTTTCCCATCCAATCCTTCATACCCCAACCCTCCTGCCTCCCGTCACGAAGCTGGCTGTTCGACCCGGACCTCCCCGCGGTGTACCGAGACGCCGCGTCGCTGAGGAAGTGGCACTCCTTGAGCTCCAAGGACCTCAAATGGTCAAAGCCGCAGAGCACCGACTCCGCCTGCGCCACGGCCACGCGCGTGGCCGGCACCGGTCCGAACGCGGTGGAAGGCGATGGCTTCCAAATGGAGGAACGACCAAAGCGATAGTCCAAAACGGGTGAGGAGCTGTGTTCTTGCTGAAATTGATGCGATGAGGTGGAAATAGAGCAAGAAACAGTAGCCTCCAAAAAGTCAGGTGAGAAGTACATAGTCATATAGAAACTAAGAGAACACCAGGCAGTTTGCGTGTTAGTTCAGAAAAGGGTAGCATTAGCACAGGGGTCCACGAACTCTCGGATTGGACGATGCTCGGAGCGTTTTGGGATGCATTCAGAAAACCGCTCCCTACCTCCTGAAACCCAGGTTCACACAGGACATACCCTAGTGGGCTTACCCTATATGTATCCCGAATGGTGAATTGGAAGTATATATATATACCACAACTTAAAGCCTATCCCAGGTTGGAGGCCATCGCTAGTAGGTTGGAGGCCATCGCTAGTAGGTTCCTTTTAAAGTCTTTTCCTTAAAGTCTAGATGTCACTGGAAGAACCAACATGTGTAACTTATTGTTGTGGGTCATTTCCGGAGCTCGCTCGGGATGCAGGAAACAAGCACAAACCCCACTGTGAAGTCAGATCCTCAACTCCAAACCCACGCGACGCGGTTCCCGCTTCGAGCGGCGTACGGGAGCTCCGTGTACCGCTGCTTACGCTCCCTCCAGCTCCAGGGATCCGATTACATCGCTCACGTCCCACCTTCGTGCCAGCCCCTATCTCTACGGGCCAGACGGTTGGAGGCCATGGTTGTTCCACTCTAGACTCAGATTCTTCACAAACTAGAAGCTTCTCGGGAAACAAGCAATTGTTTTGTGTCCTTGGTTAGAGGCGCCAAGCACTTCGAAAGGAAGAAAAGAGAAGAACGTCATACCACGCAAAGCGTTTGCGGTTCCTCGACTCCTCCGACCTCGCCAACATCTTTCACAACGAAAAATGTTCAACAACAGAGTATCAGTCGTGACCTTCTTGGAGTCCTGAAGTGACAGAATTTGTGACCTCAAACTGGAAAATCAAGTTCGATCACTTTGAAGAACCAGTTCTACAAGCTTAATTTGCACAGTGACTAAGCTGATTGACAGAGGAAATCGTGGAAAAAACACGGGCTTTGCATTGCCAAACCCATAACTACATCTAACTAGCTACCAATTATATAGGTACGGTGCACAACAAACCTATACAAACCTGGAGGGCCATGTTGTTCCGAAAATGCCTGATGATATCATGTCCAATGCTATTGGGATGGTGTGAGAAAGACAAAGACAACCCAAACAAGCACCTTTCACTGTGGTTCCTTTCAGGGGCTTCTTGTAACTCACTCTTCCTCCAAGTCGGTCACACCGAAACACAGTGTGGCTCCGCCACCGCGGCCACCGGCCTCTGCACAGTGCTCCACCTCCACCACACGCAACCGCTCCAGCGCCACCAAACCTCCGACCCGCTCTAGCGCGCCCGCGCGGCGCAGGTCGTCTGAGGTGGTCAAGCTGAGCTCTTCCAGGCGCCGGAGATACGCCCAAGTGTTCACCCAGAGCCTGGAGATCGCAGCGAACACCACCCCCAGGTGGTGCGAAAAGTGCGAAAAAGCGCCGCACCAACATTAGCCCAATATCGTAGCTTTTATCCAGATGTTCCCAAGCCACCCAAGCTATGATATCCATGAGTGTCCATCAGCCACGACCCCATCATGGAATCACCAACCCAATGGCTCCCATCCTCCCCACCAACATATACCTGGATCTTCCAACTATGCCAAAATGTCTGCCGAACTTGGCTATTCTTTTAGAGATGAAGAAGGCAGAAAGCTTCCTTTGGCAGGGTTTCTTGAGGATGAAGAAGACTTTGAGATGTCGGAAGTCCGTTCGACCCTTTCAAAACTGGTTGATCTGGTTTTGTCGTGTAAAATCCTTATAGTCCAACAGCTCGCTTGTCCGGGGAAAAAAGAATAAAGCGCGTTTTTACCAGAGATGCTGGGGGCCACGACTTCGGAAAAGGAGGCAACAACTATAAGATCCCCCCAAGTTGAACCTCGGCTCCGCTCCGCTTCTCACCTCCAGGAGCTCTGCAAGGCTCTCTGCCATTCCACCAGCGCTCCGAACTCGAAGATCCGCCGGAGCACATCGTCGTGCACCTCCTCCAACCACGCCGCCATCGGTGGTGCAGCGCCTCGGTCGCTTAGGCGGTGCCGTGTGGTGCCGTTGGTTGAACCCCCCGGGGTGGCGTCCCGGTTGGACAGTGGAGGTGCGCGCAACTGCGCTTTTTGGCGCACCGCACTTGGGGTGAGGATCCATTCTTCACCTTGAAAGGCTATGTGTCCATAGGTGAGCAAAGACTAGAGCTTGCAGTGAAATTCTGAATCGAAAGTGAACTGCCTCATGAGAGCACACCAAACCGATGAAATGTTCTCAAGTTTCACGACATGTACTTGGCACCCAAACTGGAACAAGGGGAGTCAAATGAGCTCAGTGGCAACCACCGTCCAATCGGGAGATGGATCGAACCAAAAAGCCGCCGTCCCCACATGCGGGCGGAAACCGACACGCCGTCTGTTGAGCAGCTACACGTCGTGAAATCAGTGGCAGCCCTGAAACTCTGCAGCCTCCCCTCATCGCCTGTCGACCCCCGTGCCACGTTTCGTGACGGATCGACCGATCGACCCGCGAATCGATCGGGCTCGATCCCCGTGGCACCTGAAGTGGCCGCGGATCGGGCCAGTCGTGGTTCTCAGGTCGCGCCAGGCGAGGAGAAGATCTGACATGTGTTCAAAAAAACAATGAAATGAAATATGATGTCGAAAATGGTCTCTGTATGTTTTGTGTATGTCCTGTGGTTCTGGAGATGCTCGAAATGCAGATGCTCGAGAGCATCTCGAGGGCTTGTTGCTCACAGGTTGCATGTGTGCCTGCATCTTTTGATGCAGTTTGTATAGAGATGAGATGACGCGAGATACACATTTGTTGGGTGAAAAAAGCATGACACATCACATCAGCCCCCCCCATGACACATCCGTCACACGGCCGTCAAGCCGAAACTCCAGCAAAACGGCCGTCAGACGTCAGACTGAAGTTTCTGCGTCCGAAGTCGAAAAAACTCCAGCATGTGGCTGTGGGTCACTTCCGCCCACCTTGTTCCCCGACGAGTGTGGCTTTTTTTGACCCATGTTGCCCTAGAACGGGGTAGAGGATGCTACGAACGGGGCTCCTGGCATCGCTACTAGGAACAAGAAGCTACGAACGGGGCTGGCCTTACTACTAGGAGCGATCGGACGCTACGAACGGAGCTTTTTCACCCGTGGAAGGCGACCCAACACCTTCACAACTCCTTCACGGCTCGAGCAGCTCCGGGCCCGCTGCACAGCAAAGACCAACCGCGACGGTCACTCCTTCCAAAACAGGGTGAGATTCAAGATGTTCCGAACATCTGGGCATTTAGCAACACACCCTTCATCCAACCATGATCTGAAATATAAAAAAGCAAAAACATATTATATATATTTAGTAAATAATAGTCCTTATAAAATATTAGAATATAGTAATAATCCCCGTATGCAAAAATACAAAGGTTTCGCACCAAAAGAGTCGCCACATGGTTGCCTTCCCCTCTCTGGGTGCCCCTGCTGGCTGCAGACCAAAGACCTGCGCACACCGTTGCCCCGAGCGACGCCCTTCCCAACTTCGTCTGGGAGGTGCGCATAAGTTGGGCAAATTCACCTAGACCCAAGGAACTTAGGACACCAGAAACCATCCACATTCCGAGAGCGGCTGGGAAGAATGAAACAAGAAGTTGAGGTCATATATACTTATAGACATACCCCCGTATACGATCATCATGGACCCTGAGAATTTTGGCCTGAAGGGCATGGGACAATGCATGTTCCAAATACCAATCCCAATGGTTTTGAATGATGTTCATCTGCAGAGGAGTATATTTCCAGGTGGTGTGGATTGGCATGGTGGGCTCAAAGGATCAAAAAGGACCGCTTCCACCAGGAGTTCCATGTCGCACTCGGTCTTGAGACCCATCCAGGGGCGGATGACAGATGCGCCACCCCAGAACTCCCTTCGTTCGGCATCTCGGACCTCCTTCCAGCTGGAAACAAAACAGTTGTTTTTTTTGTGTATGGCTTTACTTCGCCCTACCCTACCAACCTCGCTTCGCACCCAACAACTCAGAGAGTAGGGCTTTGCCAACCAACCCCCTACAGCCAAAACAGCATGAACAGCACTCGATGGGCAGCGCGAGCTTGTCATGGCGCCCCAAAAGCAGAGCACGTGTCCCCCCTCGTCCGGTGCCGGAACCCCGAAAAGCTCCTAGTAGCGTCCGATCGCTCCTAGTAGTAAGGCCAGGAGCTCCGTTCGTAGCTTCTTAGCTCCCGCGATCCTTTTGGGCCCGATGGGGGGGCCAAGACGATCCACATCCGCACGAAATCCGCCCCCCACGTCGACGGATGAGCATCGTAGCAGCTCCAGTCGATGCAGGGGAGGATGTTCGCAGCACAAAAGCCAGCTCAACGGTGAAATGCGGAGCTGGACGAGTCTCAATGGGCCAAATGAGTATGAGGTCCTCGAGGTCCGCTTAACTCGAGGAGGAAAAAATGGCCCAAAAGGTCCGAAAGTTCGACTCATACCCACACTGCAAGACTTGTCCAATTGGGTGTAGCTGCAGACTTGAGAACGATCCTCCGAACATTCTAGGCTCACCAATGCGTGGATATTGCTTCCCCAATTGGTTGGAAAGACAAGTGCACCTCACTTCAGAAATGGTTTGATCAAACACCTTCAGAAAATCAGAGCATGTGGCCTGGGTCCCTCCATTCAATCAACAGAGGCACGCCAGGCGCAAGCCCTCCAGGCTCAGGCCATCTGACATACAACTCAACCTTCTTTTTCTGTGAAGGACCCCCCATGTGAGGAACAATGATTAGAAAGAGACTAGTTGTATTCAGAATCTGCTTGCAGGCTGCAGGGGATGTCCTGCAAATCTTGTCAGACTTGGCCAAAATGACTTTTCCCAGTCATTGGACAAAATGAGTTTCTGTTCAAATCTTCGGAGGCAAGCTACCATCGGAAAAAGTGTGAAGGTGGACAGCGCATGCACTTCATGGCCGCTGTCCATCAACGTGTTCTGCGAAAACCAGACACGAAACTCTCTCCTCGGTCGGATAAATCCTTTGCGCGAAGTGAGGGAAGCTAGGGAAGTGACTCTTTCACCATCTCAGGATCTGTGAGCCTTCCAAATCAGCAAGTTGATTTCACAAAACCCCCCTACCTGGCCTGGCAACGATTGTCACACTGAGACACCGAATCGATCGCGCCTGTTTGCGATGGGTCGTCTTAGTGTGACAAGCACGAAGAAAAGCAAAGAACACATGTAACAAACAGAAGCCAAGGTTAGGAAATGGTCATGTGACTGACTCATATGTTTTTATTATGTTGATTGTGAACATGAGGGTAGATGAACAAGCGGATTCCCAAAGGATTACCATGGATGGGATAAAGAAGATATAGCATTGCATTTAACAAATGGATCTACAGAATAACTGGAAAGACTATAGTAGGAGCTCAGTATGATCGTCAAGGAACAGAACCTATCAGTCAGCTTATCAGCCTGAACAAGCACTGCTGCATTGCACTGCATGTCCGTTTTAAAACACCAGAATACTCTTTCCAACAAGAAAAGAAGCAACAAGAAGCAGTTGGTGTTGCAAAGGTTGGAGGAAGACCGAATCCCCACCAATGGTTCATCACTGTTTGACTCGCAAGTCTCCGACTGTTTGACTCGCCAAACCGCCAAACATCCCCAAATCCGAGCCAATCTGACTGGGCATGGAATAAAGCCACGGGCGATGACATGGCTGTAGATCTTGGCCCATCCTCCTTCATTTTCTTGAAAGAAATCTCCAGCTGTCAGCTGACCACCAGAACATTTGCAACCCAACAAGAACCAGATGGTTCTCTGGGCTTCTCAGAGGAGAAGGAAGGGAACAACGCAAGTCTCAACCTCCTTTGATTGGTGTTTCCTCTCAAGGAAACCAACCCCCAAACCACCCACAGAAAACTCATCACCCTTGCCCCAGCCCATCCATTTCACAGTGCCAGATCCGAGCAACAATCCTCGTTGGTCACATCAAGGAGACTGCGCAAGGGGCGAATCTTCAGCTCTCCGGACAGCAGTGCCAGAATCCTCGAAGAAGCACCAATGGCGACCCACACCGGACCGCTTTCGTTCAAGAGAAACACATCGAGAAAACACCCCCCCGGGTCTCGCGAGTCGTCTTCACGATGGTACCGAAGGAACACAAACGGTCTCCCGGAGTGGGTGGAACTGTCCCGGGTTTCGTTTTGTAAGGGACAAGCAGTCTTCCTTTCGGGAGGCATGCCATCCACTTCCATGTGATGTGTTCAGAGTGTACCTAGAGCCCAGACATGACCTCTGCTTTTGGGGGGTGGTTGATGGTCCCAAATAAAAGTCACAAAAAGGCTCTAGGTCTAGGTAGTGTCCAGTGGACAACTTCACACATGAAGCCAGGGGATGCCTCAATCGATGTTCTAGCATTTGCTCTGAAACACCTCCGGAAGTAAGGAGGGTCTAAGCTTTCAGCAGTGTGGTCCAGCACAAGGTGCTTCTTTCCTCCAAACACGAGCCCTATACTGCCAAGCAATGTTTCCGCTTGAGAAGCTAGCCTCCCTAGAAAAATGCCAACAAATTTCAGAAACCTCACAAGAAATGTCTACAGTGTCTACAGGTTTGGGTATCGCATCAAAAGTTGGTCTTTCAATTGTTCTTGCTGTTTGTTTTCTGTAGAAACCCACCACCCAGTCCTCCAAGCAAGAGAGGAAGGCAAATAAATCGAGAAAAGACACCAAAAGAGATGGATGATCTGACCGGGGAAGCTTTTACTCAACATTAAGATCATTCCATTCAACACATCGTTACAGTCTCATACATCTAAAGGAAAGAATTTCCAACCCCTCTTCCCCCTGAGCCACCCGCTTTCTTCCATTGACCATCCACCAAATCCACCACCAGGCATCTGCGCTGCGTCCCCTTCAGCTTCGCCGTCATCCACCACAAAGTCAGAGGCCAGGAGCCCCCGTCGGGTCTTCCTCTCTGGGTCGGCGCCTGACCGCGCAGACGGTCCGAGCGAAGGATGCCAGAGATAGATCGGTGGAGCCTGGCTGGGTGCCTAGTTTGAACCACCAACGGCCTGGGCCTTAGTCTTTTCCGATCAAAAGAAAACCAAACATGTCTGGGCATCAGGTACCAAGATGGTTCGCCACCCCGGGGCATTTCTCTATGAATCAACCAAGGCACTGAATGGCCATCCATATGTCACAGCGGTGTGGTGATGTGAACTCATCAGGTGATGGAGCTTAGTGAGGAGATGTCTGCTCGGAGGGCCTGTTTGGTTCGAGCCCAGGTTACATGACCCCGACGTTGGAGACGACCGTTGGGGGCCATATTTTGGGAGGTTCACTTTCACAGACCTGCACGGGAAAAAAAAACGGGGAAAACCTACGGCTCCGACCCCCGCACGGCGAGCCGTGACCTCCTACGGGTCTCCCCGCGGTCCAGGTCCGCGAGGTCCAGGTCCGGCGCCTGCTTGCAGGAGGAAACGGACCATTTGCAGATCCCCCAGCTTCGCAGCGACGTGGAGAGGATAAACGCCCTTCCTGGTCGATCCCCAATTGCAGCGGTCGCGGCGTCGGTCGAAAAGCGTGCGCGGCGTCGGTCCGGGACAGAAGGAGAAATGGGTTTTGCGTCGTGCACATCCGTGATTGAGATATCTGGCACATCATCCTGGAATGGAAGATGTAGCATGAAATGTGCTACCCAAATATTCCATTCCAATGTAATTCTGGAATGGAAGGTGCCTGAATTGTGTTTCAACATTCATAGAGTTTCTTGGGACTAGATTTGCCTACGCAAATAATGGATGATTGCCTGCAAATGTTGCTGCATACGAATCCGACAAAACATCATCAACGTGGGGCTTCTTGAAATTCTAACTCTAACTCATTACAACCCTTTCTCCAGGATGTTTTTTCAAGACAATGGATGCTTCTGAAAGGATCTTGGTACAATAGGAAAGTACGATGCACACCCATGCTGAAAAGCAGCATCTTCTCACGGTGCTGCTAACCAAGTCGTTGCCAAATAGACTACAATAGTCTGGCTCTTGTTCAAGGTAGAAACCCAATGCCAAGATAGATAGATCCTTCCCCGGGTTCTCTGTCCTATCTTGGTTGTTCACCAGGGTAGCTTATCTTGGAAAATGCAAATTATTGCAAGCGCAAGCGTCTTTTCCGTAAAGGGCATGGAGAAGAAGCGCTTGATCCGGGGCTTGTTCCTGGACGGCCAGCTGTCATGCTATTTTAGAAGCGTACTGCTCATGTAGAGACACCATCCACAAACTCTCAACTCGGAAACTTCCAGCTCCACTTTTCTCCAAGTCGACTTTGATATCGATGGAATCAAAGTACTCAAACCTACTTCTCATCTATATCGTCTACAGTCTATAAATATATCCACAGTATATATATATATATCGATTAATTAGCTGGGATAGTTCAACGATAAGCACGGACAGCTGTAGCCAAACCCAAAAAAAGAACAACAACACATGGATCATTGATCCACCTTGGTGACCCACATGTTCGGGGACCTCCGGACATCCCCTAGGAGTGGGGCAGATGCCGCAGGGATAGGCACCAGCGGCTTCTGGACACGATGCGTGAAAAAAATCCGTAGACTTGACGCTCTGAACTCGTTGTTTCTTGGTTCATTCCAGTCGTTCCAAGGAGTTGGGGTGGTCAACATCGAACCATCCAGTGAAGCGTTTTTCTTGGTGCACACAAAGGGCATACCCAATAGACACCCCTCAAGATCGACACAGTTTGGGAACTGCTCGTTGTTAACCGAGCTGTCGCCGCACGTTCGTGGGATTCAATCCCGTACTACAATCAGTCCGCGAAGCTGATCGACGGCCAACTAGGCAATTGGAAATCCCCGTCACCCCCTTCTCTGTTCTTTGCTGTTCTTTTATATGTTCTTGTTTCTGGATGATGTTCTTATCTTATCGTTTCCTTTGTCTTTTCCTTTTTGTCCCTGTCTTTTCTTTTCGTGTCTTCTGTTCTTTTCGTTCTTCCATTCCTTCCGTTCCTTCCATTCCTTCCGTTCCTTTCTTTCCTTCCTCCCTTTCTTCGTTCCTTCGTTCTTTCCTTCTTTCTCTCTTTTTCCCCGCTCTGCCCCCCCCCCCCCCCCCCCCCCCCCCCTCTCTCTCTCTCTCTCTCTAGGAATGTGGACGCTGCTTTAAATGTCCACCTATCTATCTTCTTCAGGGAGCTGAGTTGCTTGAACAGCTTTTAGCCACCTAACACATGGTTTCAAACCAGCGAACCAGTTGCAAGAACTGTGAAAATATTTGAGGATAGCAAGTCTTGAGTTTCTTGAAAGAGTGCCCTGTTCAGTGTCTCCTGTTGCATTCAGGCGTTACATCTGGAGAAAAAGCTTGTCCCGCCCAGTCACCGCTTTCCGCACCGAACCTCCCGTCGAGTGGACTCGCGGCCTGGGTCCAAAAACGGCCCCAACGTCCGAGTTCGGCGTCACGGCGGGCCGAGGGGCACATCGGAGAAGTCATGTCTCTTTAAGAAGCGCACCACACAATCCCTCCGCTTCGTCTGCCTTCCCGCGGCGGGCAGCCGGAACACGGGGCAAGCGGGAAGCGGAAGGTCTCTGAGCTCTCTCTGAGCGCACTCTGGGCCACGCTGGGCAGGGGTGTTCCGGAGCGAGCAAGAGGCAGTCGAAGGGGGAAGCCCAAGAGTAGCTACTTCGTCAGGACACAGGCCGAAGAGGGGTGTCCTCTTTTCAACTAGAAAGGCCTCCTCTTTCAACCGAAAAGAAGGAAACACCCCAACACCAAACCCTGCATGTCGCGGTTCGGAGGGTCCTTTCAACCTGGATCTCGGGACCGCCATGCCGAAGCCCGTTTCACCGGTGCCGTCCCCGGTATTTGGAGGACAGCGTACGTGAGGACGGTACGTGAAGACGGTAAGAACTAGATCAGCAAATACAGTAACCATGAATACAGTAAAGGCCTTGTTCAAAAATAAGGAGTTGCTTGTTTACTGACTCTGACTAGGTGAACAACCGACAGACCCAACTGATAGTTAACAAGTAAATAGTCCGTTGCCTGCGCGGAATTCCGTGGCATGAACTGTGCCCTGATGTATGGGGATGGGTTGCGACCCACCTGAATAATTATTGAGAGTAGATTCTAGATGGTACAAGGGCCCCCAAGTTTGGTGGTTTATGTGGACCCACATCTGTTGGATAGACATATCTTGGGGTGTGTGCCATCGAACCTCTGAAACCACTGCATATCAGCAACATAACCTCAAGTGGTCATTGACATCATCGATCCCATCGCCCAAGCTGTCGTCTCACTTCCAATCACTTCCCTCCCCACTTGGCCGGGCCTTTGCTCTCCTTGGGAAGCGCAAAGGAAGCCGGACGTGACGAGAACCGATCTCCTGAAATGCAAACATCTTCCTGAACCAGGCTGGATCTGTTACAAAGTTACACTACAAAATCCGATGCGAGAAACTCTGATATGGAGCTCAGAACATATGTGTGTTGTTCAGTAACACCATTTCATTCCCACCAGTCTCAACATTCCTGAGTGATCTCGAGGCTGTAGAGGAACGACTTGGTGCATCTATAGTTGGTCTGTCATCTTTACCTGAAGAAACCTGAGAAAAGAGCATGTCGCCATGTGCATGGTAAGATCTTACGACTGGTTAAAACCACTTAGGTGAAACGAGGTGTCCAACCTGGATTGACCTGGATTGTGGACTGATGTCCCAATGGCCATCTTTTAAGAAGCTGCTCGCGTGAGTAGCGAACTCCATATAAATCCTTTTTGGTCAAGGATGATTCCCAAACTTGTTCAACAGGTTGGAACCTCTTCCGAAACAGCCTTAAAAAAAGATTCCAGGTCCTTTTCGAGCATCCAACACTAAATCTACCCCCAAGAACCACCGAAAGGACCTCCTCCCCAGCCGTCCCGTTCGACGCTCTTCGCACCCGAGCGTCTCTTGAACTCCAGCTCCAGGTGGGTCGTCACCTTCGTCTCCTTCCACTCTTCAAGTCCTTTGATCTCTGGCACCTGGGAGCCCAAACCGACCGCACGGCCAACGGGGCGACCGACCGACCTTTCTCGGCACCACGCTTCGCGGGCATCGCGAGACGGACGAACGCGACCGGTCCGGGTCTCGAGCCGGGGACTGGACAGGTTCAATCCAGTCGACCGGATTAAGTCCTGTCAGCTCTCAGTTAGTGGTAGAAAACTAGTCAATCATGGGGAAGATCGGGGAAAGCTGGGTTTTTCTAGACCAGTCCTACGAAAGGCAGGGGCGGATCTTTGGATGCGAGGGGGGTCTACAAGAATCACTGCCGCATCAATGCGGCCACACCGTGAACTCCTTGACGTCGGACGTCGATGGCCCAAACCCGCAGCTGCCCAAAGCTTTGCCAAAGCACATGAGGATCCTGAAAGTCGCTCAAGGTGTTGAGGCACATGGGGCTACAACAATTCGGAGCGTCCTGGTCGGTGCTGGTCTTCGCCTAAACAAAAGAAGATCTTGGAAGACCTTCAGCCGAAATACTGCGCCACGATCCTCACACCGAAGAGACATGAAGATCACGACGGCCACACCGTGAAGTTGACGCACCGTGGACTCGGCTCCGGAGAAAAACCCGCCGGAGGTGGCAAAGGGCAGCAAATGGTTCGGAACCTGCTGGTTTCATCACCCAACAACGAGTGGCAAAGGACACAGATCGAACGCACCTCGCGGGGTTGGTGTCCTGTCCCGACCGGCGACCGGCGACGGACCTGACCGACATCGGTCGTCGAAACGGCTGGACGGGTGGCCACATCGGGCGCTCAAAAGGCAGAGGAATTTCATCCCCCCTTTTCTGGCTCCCGTCCCCACATAGATGCAGTCATCTAGCATCACTTGCGAGTTCACGTCACGCGAAAGAAGCAGTGAGAGGTGGAGTCCAGAATGGACCTCATGTGTGGGTAAGTCCTCATGTCTGGCCATGTCCAGGTTTCTCGCGCTCCCAAAACCGCCTCTGCCAGGTGTTCCAAGATGGCGTGCAAGGTGGGCGTGGTGTTCAGATCCGAGGCCACACAGAGTTGGCCTCGATGGCGTCCCGGGTCGACGTCGACCGTGAAGCTCGCAGTCGGAAGCCGGACGGGGGTCTGGACTCGAGGCGAAACCAGCACCAATGAGTCTGACCCCGTTCGTCCATATTGGAGCTCCAGCAGTTGGTATCCAAACATCATGGCAAAAGCATTCAAAATCCCTAAGTGGGTGATTTCTCTAGCAGGTGTTGGCAACTACGCCGGGCTCTGTTGAGCCCTGTCAGAGTCCCCACCTTTTTTCAGAATGGCGGTCAGCGCGTTGACGGCCAAGACGTGGCGACAACCACCTCCCCGGGTCCTAGTGGTCCAAGGATACTGAGATCGGGCCACAACGACCCGGCAACCCAGTCCCGAAACGAAGGGTAACCCAAGATGGCTTGAGATATCCTTGATGGTCCGGAAGTGGCCGGGACTGGGGAAAGAACCAAACTAGTTTCTGTTTGGGCACGTAATCTGTGTGAAGCCAGGCTTCGTTCAACCAAAAAGCCCTCAGTTCAACCTCAAACACCCATGGCCACATGCCATGGCCACATGCCAATGGCGCGAGCGATGGGCCTTCACTCAGTGCCTTCGCCGCCTTCACGCCAAGTGGCGCGAGAAGGGGAGGCCATTCTCCAACCATGCAGGCTTAAAGGAGAGCTCCTAGCAGCTAGGCCCATTCGGTTTCACCAGGTTTCACCCCGAAGAAAACCGGTTGCCTGGGCTTTTTCGCTATAGCAGGGGACCCCAAAAGCATTGGGCAGAAAGAAGTGTCCAGTGTCACAGGCAAACAAATCCATCTTCAAACGTCCATATCACGTCATATCGCGTCATATCACATCACATTGAAACCTGAAAACGTCCATATCGTTCAGTGAGGCTCAATCGTTCAGTGAGCCAAGCGAGCCAACAGTCGCCGTCCGGCGAGCCGGACGAGCCAATTATTGGGTCGTTTCCCTTTGAAACAGGAAGCGACAACCATCCGAGAGCGAGATGTTGACCTTCCAGTTGAAAGAACCAAAGTTCAAATCTATCACTTCAGTCCAAAACCAGCCTGGCCCTTGCAAGATCCAATGCTATCCCTCTTGACTTTGAAGTCCAAATCTTCATCCAACAAACCAGAACTTGGGTCACATCAATACAACCGAGATCAACCGAGACATTATCACTTGACACAGCTTCTAAGAACGAAAGAGCATGGGACTATCGCCTTTCCACACCCACACCTACTTTAGCTAGGTTGGAGTTGGGGGCCATCGCTAGTAGGTTGGAGGCCATCGCTAGTAGGTTGGAGGCCATCGCTACTAGGTTGGAGGCAATCGCTACTAGGGTGGAGGCCATTGCTATTAGAAACAAAAAAAAATTAAAAGGAAGAAAGCTCTAGCACCTGCCATTGGCTCTTTTGGCTCCTCGCGGCTCAGGTCGCCGAGCTAACACCTCTGACCTCTGTCAGACCTACGGGCGCGCCCCTGTATGGAGGTGTCCGGAAGGCCTGCCGGGAGGCCTCCCGCTGTTCACAAGCGGAACCACATTTGACCAAAACACTCGAACTTAGACGTATCAGCACTGAACGTCACAGTCAGTTTTGAGAGACAGTGAAGATCTGTTCTTCAGAACTGAAGACTCGTCTTGATCCTTGAAACATGGAATTTCCACCCGGGTCCAACTGGTTTGAATTCTTACCCCTTCTTCGCCCTACGGCGTTTTCCAGAGCCCCAGATGAGTGGGACACGCCCATATCTACTAAGATGATGCCTCTCCGGAAACGCTCCGGGTCAGTGTAAAGACCACAGCTTTGCGTGGCCCCTATCCCCAAGCGGTAAAAACAGAGAGTGGCTTTTGACCTGAGCAAGCAGGACAAAGGGCCATCGAACCGAAATCTGGACTCTCGAGATGTTTGGCTTTTCGGGCTTTTGGGGGCTGGTTGACAGAAGCGAAGGCCCATTGAAAGACTCGGGTGAAAGAGTTCAAAGGGCTCAGCTTTGGATTCTCAGAAGTGCGGATTGCAGGAGAGGATGAAATAACCAAGAGTCCTCTTTCGTACTCAACGAGCAGCGCAGCATGCAAACCATGCAGCCCCTACAACAATCCCACAACAACTCCTAATCACCTTGTCAACCAAACCATGCAAGGTGCAAGAAACACAAATCTGTAGCCCCAACAAAGGCATCAGCCCCCTTTCAGAAAGTGAACTTTGGGATGAAGACAACGATCAAACTGATCAAACTAGAGGTTTCTGTAGACAAAGTCAACCCTCTCGAAAACTGAGTTTGGAAAATGGACTATGTTTCTCTACCGAACCGGACTTCACACCTCGGGGTAGTCACATCATCGCGAAAAGTTTGGCAAAAAAGAACGCCTCGGGCCTCAGGTTCAGGAAAGCATGTTGGCGAATATAAACCTACTCATGTTGGCAGCTCATTCACAGTGCTCTATTTGTCTCGAACTCTGAGTTTCTTCGCTTTCAGGCCAGCCCCGCAGCCCCCAGCAGTGCAAGGGAAGCCCGAATCCCTCCCGAACCTCGTCCAAGCCACGTGTGGCAAGCCCGCCTCTTCGAGGCGTCTCCGCTCCTGCGACGTCCAAAACTCTTCCTCGCCCGCCTCACGAGCGGAGGCGGCTGTGAGTACAACACCCGGTGCCAACGGGTCGGTGGGTGGAGCCACGGGCGTCCCCTATGCTTCGGAAATGGAATCCCCCAGCTCGCAGCTGTTTTCCAGGTGTAGGCGCCATACGCCCATGTCCCTTGAGCATCCGAGAGGGCCTAATTTGAATCATTGACATTGACATACATTGACCTATTTTGCCAGCCATGCTTATCCTTACCTGAAAAAAACATGTGCTGTGTATATATAATATATATATATGTGTGTGTGTGTGTTCTATTATATACTATTATTGTTATCAATCATAATAACAATAGTAATGTGTTGCTGGGTCCAAGTCACACCATGCACGAGTGGTCCCCATTCAAAACATGGACATTTGATGTGAAGTCTGGTCACACCGAAATGAGCTCCGAGTGCGGTCGAATCAAAGAGAGATTGAACTGAGTTCCGGAGGCACCGGGCGTCGCCGTCTCGAAGCTTCCGACTCTGGTGGCCCGAGGCGCCGAGCCGGCGAGGAGCTCCGCATCGGGTGGTCCATGTTCCGAGTCGCTCAGGTCTTGTGACTCGGAACTGCTGAAAACGCCCCAATTCATACCAAAGACGACCAGGATGTAGGTTGCTCCCCCAAAAGACGACCAAGATCTTGGAACCCTTGGAACCGCCCACCGCCCACCAACTCGCACTCCTCACCGCCCCACCTCGCATGCGCTGTGCCCAGCCGTTCGCACCAGGTCCGATGGCCGTTGGCCCCGGCGGTTCCGTCGCAGCACGTCGCCCCCGTGGGCGATTAAAAGCCTCGGGGGCCGGGCGGAACCGAGCCAACCCTGGATGAAGGCGACCGAAACTGAGAAGTCTGGAAGTCGTTACCAGGGGCCCCGAACCAAAACCATGAAAAAAGACAAAGGTTTTCATATGCAAAAACCAGGTTTTTTGCTAGGGAAAACCAGGTGTTTGATGGTTTGTGGGCCCTGGTAGTGTAGAAGTCTTGATTCACAACCCCGCCAGAGATGGATTGTAGAGCCTCCGAGCCTCTGAGCAAGAGGTATTAATCAAGATTCTACATGAAAATTGGGCGACCCCAAGATTTGACCCCTGAGTGGGGATCCTAGAAGCTTAGGCTGTCAAAAGTGCTATCGCATCGCCACCAAAGCGTTCTCACCACATCTTTCGCATCTTGTGGGATCTCGCCCACGCGAGGTACGTTGAAATTCATGAAGTATGATTTGCAGGAGTTTGCTGACACAAGGCCCGTTGACCATGGAACCCCCCAAACAAACTAGGGTATTCTTTTTTTCCGCAAAAACGTCTATGAAACACAGTCAAGTGGGTTCATGAATGGTCTAGTCTTCTTGTAGCGCCCAACTCTGTCGCACAAACCATCCACCTCCTCTTCCAACGCATATAGGTCCCACTTTAAAAGGGTTACTATATGAGGAAGTGGGGAGTGTCACCATTATTGACACAAATTGAGACAAAAAACAAGAGTGGGAAATGAATCATGCCTGAATGACCCATCTTCTATACTAAACATGTTCAACAATTGAGCGCTCCCTTCACCGATGCCATTGTTTCTAACCCGAAAGCGGCACAGCAAGAAGCAGCCCATTCCCGCCTGGCTGGCCAAATCCCATCACTGAACATAGCGCAAAGGTGCCTCCGGTGTCTTGACTTGGCGAAAGAATGCAAAAATCCGATTTGCTCTTAGCAGCAGTAGAAGCAGCAAGAAAAGTAGTAGCGGTGGCGGTGGCGGCGGCGGTGGTGGAACACGAGTATAGGACTAGGACTACTACTACTACTACTACTCCTACTCCTACTGCTACTGCTACTCCTACTCCTACTACTACTACTACTACTACTACTACTACTCCTACTCCTACTCCTACTCCTACTCCTACTCCTACTCCTACTCCTACTCCTACTCCTCCTCCTACTCCTCCTGCTGCTACTACTACTACTACTCCTACTCCTACCCCTACCCCTACCCCTACCCCTGCGGCGGCGGTCGCGACGACGAGTGCTCGTAGCCTAGTGACATATTAACAAGTAAAATACTTATATTATATATATAAATATATATAACTATATATATTTATGTATGAATATATGGTAATATGGTCTCTGTTGTGTAATATTACATATGAGAACAATGGGCGAAGAAATCATGCACCACCAAAATTCGGAACCCCACCAGTGTGCGGAATTCTTCCGGCTGGTGCTGCAATTCTGCCCACCGGTTTGTAGAATGGGTGCTCGAAGCTGGCACTTTGGAAACCACTGCTTTCAACATAGACTCGACATAGATATTCAAAATGGACCTTCTCAAGACCGTGTTGGTTCTCTTTCTTACCTTCTGGGGCCATAATAACAACTGGGACAAAGAAGTTTGGTCATCACAATTGACTGTTGAAAGCTCTGACCTGTGCCAGAAGCTGGCCATCTCAAACGGTAAGGGTCAGAGTAAACAACAAACGTTTATTCACCACGGGTGTCCGTCGCGTTCTTTGGAGAACCAGGGTTTTAGACCCCCCGAAATCCCCATTGAGACACGTTGCAGCGGAGTGTTGGAGTCCCTGTCTCGTGCGTTCACCTCAAAGGGCCACGATGTCCAAAGAAAACGGCGTTCGAGCGGTCGAGCACCGGACCTGAACGAGTCCCTCCTGAATCGAAGGTCAAAACACAGTACAGCACATATGGGTCGTGCAACCGCCGTGCGCCAGGTTCATCCGCCGTTCCGCCGCGAACGACCTACCAGGTAGGTCAACCGGTCGGTATCTCGGTGTTTGACCCACAGATATGTCACCAGCATCCCAACAAACATATTGCTCCACTGTACTCATTGCCCCCCTTCTAAGAAAGTTTTGCCACATGCACTCCTGCCATGAGAAACGAATCTTTCAGAACAGCATCTACATCCACTTCCTCCACTTGATATTCCTCAGATTCTATGTTTAGAAATGGAAGCAAGATGATAGACTCCTCAGAGGAGCAGGTGCTAGCTTTGAGATGCAATTGGGGTGCCTCTATTGCAGCTCATTCTGGGTTCTTTCTGGATGGTAA